AACACTGCAACCCTTTAACACAGTTCCTCTTGTTGTGGTGATCCCCAACCATAAAATTATTTTCGCTGCTTCATCATAAGTTTGCCCTTGGTAATGAGTCATAATCAGTAAATCTGATATGCAAGGGATCTGATACGCAACTCTCTGAAAGGGCCATTGGACCACCCAAAGGGGTCGCGGCTCACAGGCTGAGAACCACAGCTAACGCAAACCAGGACTTTGTGGGACTCTGGAGTCACAAAACAACGGACTCTTTTCCTTCTTAGATGTGGCCGCTTCTGGGTTGGCATTCTGAACCATCACTAAGGTCTCTGAAACGCCATCTCAGGGTAAGAACTTACTAGATGGACGTGGAGCTCGTGTGGGGAAGGGAACCCCACTTCAAGGCCCCAACCTGAAACTGGAGGCCACCACCCTCCCCCACATTAACCCTGGCATTCCGCAGGTGCTTGGCAAAGCCACCACCCCAGCCTCAGACTGTCCCAGACATGGCCTAGAGACATACATCATCAATCAGTGCCACGAGTCTCATCTAATTATGACACTAGGAAAGTCTACATTTCGTTCAAACTTGTTAGAATCCATCAGCAGGCTTCATGAACCTGCCAAAAAATGCTGTTCCCCTGCCCATTTTGTTTAATCTGCCAAAATTCCAAAGTCCTGCAATAGCTCTCCTAATGCCACAACTTTATTAGTGCAATTCCACCACCTGGAATATTAGTATCATTTGAGGGTGGCCTCAGATCAGCACCATTGAAAACTTGTCACAGTAACATAAGAGGCTCACAAGACAACAGAGGAACCTGGATGGTTCTGTCCAAGGAGCTCATCATCCCAGACTCTCACAGATATACAAATCAATAGATGGATGGTTCAGTCCGTAAAGGAAGAGACTCCAAAGCCTGGGACCTGAATTTAATCCCAGCACCCACATTAGAAGCCAGGCGTGAGCCACTGGGGGGGGGGGGGGGACTGGAAAGGACTGGGAAAGATTGTGAAATCCCTGGGACTCACCAGGACAGCCAATCCAACTCAACTGGTAGCAACAAATTCAGTTAGAGAGTCTAGTTCAAAAGGTAACGTGGACCTAAGGAAGGTCCACCTCTGGCCCCGACATGTGCACATGTACCCTGCACACATACACACATAAACACACTTACACACACAGAGACATACTCACTTGTACACACATACCTACGCTGACACTCCCACCTGCGCACACACCTGCACACACATCAGCAAATACACACACACTTGCACAAAAACATACACACCTGCACGCACACACCTACACACATACACCTGCACACATACACATCTGCAAACACATACTTGCACACAGACATACCCACCTGCACACATACATACCTACACAGACACTCCCACTTGCACGTACACACCGTTGAACACACATGCACAAAATGATTAATTTTTAAGGCCTTTCAGAAGGTCCCCAATCAAAGTATTCCATAAATCCTCCAATAGAGAGAGCAGAATCACAGACCATACACTCAGCTCTAATCGTTCACACAGGTCAGCAAACTCTAGCAATTCCACGGCAAAAACTGATTCTACAGATGAAAGAAGACTGTGTTTTTAGCATGTGTGTTCGCACAGGCACGTGCATGCTCATGTCACAGAATATATGTGACCTCAGAAAGAAGCAACTAGTGGGAGCCCTTCTTTGCTCCCACAGAACTAGTGAGTTTGTTCTTTTGTTCCAGGAATCAAACTCCAGCCATTCTGGTTGGCAGCAGGCACCTCCACCTGCTGAGCCAGCTCACTAGCCCCCAGAGACAATAGCATTTGTGGGGGCAGTCGCCGTAGACTTGGCTGTGATGGAAGAAAAGCAGAAATCACTCCAAGACCAACGAGACCCTGGACGGACAAATTACGGACCATCCACATTAAATATGGAATAGTGTGAGCCTATTAAAAGTGGAAGGGAGTTGCAGGCGCTCTAAATACCCATACTCATAGTGGGTATATGGCTGACCTCGGCTTTTCCATCCACAAAAGCATTTCTTTCACGTCAGTTTTTAATGGGAGGTCTGAAAACTGCTGTACATTTGGTATCAGGGTCTCTGTGTCAATAAAAGCTACTCCGCACAAAAGGAACGTGAAGGGGCTTGAGCTCACTAGGACAGGTGTTGACCGACGAGCCTAAGGCCCTCAGTTCAAGCCCTGGAACCCACCGGGTAGGGGCAGAGAAGAGATTCTCTGAAGTTGTCCTCTGATCTCCACGGTCACGCTACCGCATGCAGACAGACAGACACACAGACACATACATACACACACAAACACTAATTTTGAATACTGTTTCTGATAAAGTTGTCCGAGTGGCAGGGACAACTAGAACACGGTCCCTGACCTGGCTGGAAGGTCAGCTAAGTGACACTCGGACTTCTCAGAGCTGAGCTCTGGCAACAAGAAGGAATTATTATAATCCCAGGTAATAAGTGTCGTCACATCCCTGCCAAGAAGCACCCAGGATCTGGCCAACAGGAAAGAGACACACAAACACAACGTGACCCCTGTGCTCTGTGACCCTGCGCTGAGTTGAGACTCGAAACCTCAGCCCTTAACTGTTAGCTCCCTTGCAGGGCGCAGGACCTTTGCCCTCCTTGGAAGTGCCAGTGTCTTTTCACACACTTGCGAGGGCCCCCAAGCCAGCTGCACATCTTGGTCAAGAATGCTCTGCTCCCAGGACCTCTGTATATCCTTGCACCTCCCCCTCCAATCCTGCCCCAGCCCATCTGTAATGGTCACATATCCCCTGCCTGTCCAAGAGAACTGCAGCTCCATTCTGGGCCTGGAAGACGGGTGACTTAAACAGGACCCGCCACCCGGAGGCACTAGCAAGTAGCCCATAAAGGGTCCTTGTCACAGTACTAAGTCTCTTACGGCAGAGTACTTTGCATGTATTTAAAGAGTTCAGATTGTACCTACACACAAAAAAAGGCAGAGCAGGGAACAGTACTGATTCAGATGAATACAGGGGTACTGGAAAGGTATACTCGTGTTCCATAATAAACATGGTGTCAGGCAGGGTGTGGCAGCACATGCCTGCGATTCCAGCATCCATGAAGGAGGCTGAGGCAGGATGAGCCTGAGTTCCAGGCTAGGCCGGGCAACACAGGTCAAGACCAGCCTGGGCTACATACATAACAAGTTCCAGGCCAGTCCAAGCTACAACAGCTCCAAATTCACATGTGAGGATGTTCAAGTGCAGTCGATTCACGGACCAGCCTGCACCACTCACTCCTGGTTGTTTTGCAAAAGGATCCAAAAACCAGGGCTGTTAGGGCACAGGACAGCAAACCCCTGCCCAGCCGTCCTAGAGCAAAGTACCCATGCCCATAAACATCTCCACCTACATGCTGGCTAAAATCAATTCATAATATTACTGGTCCCTTTCAGACCCTGAACCTGAAGAGGGAGAAGACCCCGGAAGAATGGATTCACAATCTAAGCTGGGGGAGGAGGGAGCCAAGGCAGCTCAGGAGCTAGTGACAGCTAGCCAGGACTAGCCCAGCTCTACAAAGGGTCCTCAGTGGACCCCTGAGCTCCCCCTTGCAGAAACAGTCTGAAGTTGTTCCAAAGCATGTCATTTGGGCAATAATCAGGTAAATGAAGCCGTGGTTTTATGGGGTTTTTTTATTCACTCACTCTAAATAGGTAAACTGATAATCAGGCTCCAGGCCTGCTTCTCTGGCCCACTGGTTTTCAGCTATCAGTGGTCAGCTGTCCTGCCATCTCCTGACCCTTTCCCTCTCTCCAGTCCAAAGCTCTGAGCACTATAGATAAGCAAAAGGCCTCGCCCAGCCCCTCCAGCAGATACCTCCCCGTTCCAGACAGCAGCAGAGGATCCCATCTCCCTCATCTGACCCCCAAGTTATCACCCAGGCAACAAGACCAGGCATGTTGTCCCTTTCATGAGCACTCCTGTTCCAAAGTGACAAGCATGGTAAGAATGCTGGCAACTGCCACCTCCAGAGGGAAGAAGTCACATGGGGTGGCACAGCCACCAAGACAGTACCAAGCACAGGAGCCAGGCTTCCCAACTCAACCATCAGCCTCTACACAAGCAGGGATGAGGGCCAAAAAAACCCACACACCCACACACAAAACCCGTGACAGCAGAAGCCGTGTCAGCAAACAGGAAGCTCTGTCAACAAGGGGAACCAGACCCACTGGGATCCTTCAGCCTTTCTGGGGACACTGCAAAGTTCCCTTGCCAGGGTGCTAATCAGGCCTTAATTATTATGCACCCCTAAACTGCTTTCATTCATAAAACACACAGTATGGAAACAAGGGGTGGGCCGTTCATGTCTGAACCCTCCTGGGTCGCTATCCACACCTCTAAGGACCTGACCGTTACAGGCTCACCCTCCCCACAACTTCACAGACCTGTGGGAAGCCACTGCGTCCCCCACTCCCCAGACCAGCCCTGCCCAGGGCTTTCGTTTCCTTTCCGTAGGAGGGTGGGTGTCTGCAGCAACTAATGGAACACAAATTAGCAGGCAGCCACCCCGACTCTAACCACCCCGCCCCATTACTTAAGATGACTTCCAAAACGTCGCTTGTCACTCTACATTCCCCTGGCCTTCCCCATGCAAAACGGTCTGTCGCCCAGGCTGGGGGAGAGGCAGGCCCAGCGACCACCACACTGCACAGCAGCGCGGAGGCCTGCCGGTAACCTGAGAATCAGGGTTCCCAGCTCCCCGCCACCCTGCGGAGGTGTGCCCTTGGGCACGGAGGTCAACCTCCCAGTCTGACCTCAGCATCCAGGGCGGCAAAGCCTGAATCCTAAGTAAGCCCCTCGGGACGGGTCTCATCCGGGTCCCAGCTCCCCCGCCCCGTGGGGTCCCTGCAAACTCGTGCGCTCCATGATAAGGCCCGGGATGCGAGGCGGCCCTCAAAGCCTCCTAGCGGGTCCCCACAACCCAAGAATGGGCCTCAGGGTATCATCTGGGACCCACGTCCCCGCTGCTACTCACCCAGAGGAACTGCGCGCGTGGGCCGCCTTTGTGTGCAAACACCAGGCCTGAAGCGGCTGTCAGTTTAGAGCACGATGAGGGGCGGGGCCTGAACGGGGGAGGCACTTGTAGGGCGGCACCAGGGGGACTTCAGAGGAGCGGTGTAGCTGGGATGCTTCCAGGGCCCACTACCTCCCCATCCCACCCCAGCCTTCCTTAGACTTGTGGAGCATAGGGACTCTGAGTCTCCTCCCTAGAGCCGAAGTCTTCTACTCCAACAGCCTGACTGCTTCTTGACCTTATTGCTGTTTACACTTCATCCTCCCCTTGCTGTGCCCTGAGCCAGCCAACAACCTACACTCTCAGCGGGCCCCTACACCCTACCTCCCTCCTGGCTTACATTTGCAAATGTAAATAAAGAGCAAATGACGCCAAGCCCGGTGGTGGAATGAGCTAAGTCAGATCAAGTCACTCTCGAGTGTTGCTGAGACCCCAAAGGACAATAAATTAAAGTCTTGCTTTGGAGACAGGGACTCCTATGTCCCAGGCTGGCCCCAAGCTTCCTATGTAGCCCAGGAGGACCCTGAACTTCTGAACTGCCTGTCATCTCCCAGACGCTGAGATTAGTTTATGCGCGCAGTGGAGGGAGCCCAGGGCTTCTGTGTGCAAGGCAAGTGCTCTACCAACTGAGCCACATTCCCAGCTAATAAACATCAAGATATATAGATACAGTTACATGCGTGTGCACATATATAATTATATACATATCTGTATGTATGTATTTATATAAAGACCTCCAGAGAGGTGGTGCTTTCTAGGGAATGACTGCAGAGACAGGGAAAGAAGCCTGTTGAAGAACACATATCTGAGGTATTGTAGGCCACAGAGAGAGTCGGAGTATCATTTAGATGTTATCCCGAGAAGGGAGCTGTGTAATGCTGTCTAATGGGGCTGTAGACAGGAGTGGGCATCTGCTCACAGCACTCCAGGAGACCGGGAAGGAGGTGGGGATCAGAGAGACAGCGCTTTGCTCCACCTTGGGGAGGGGGGGATTAGCTTAAATGGGGGGGGGGGGGGGGTCTTGTGTATCCTAGATTGGTCTCAAAGTCCACGCATCTAAGGATGACCTTGAACTTCTAATCCTTCAGCCTCCAGACTGCCGAGATCACAGATGCACACCCCTACACTGGGTTTGTCGAGTGTTGGAGATCAAAATCAAGGATTATGCACTACCAACCAAGCTGTGGCCCCAGTCCAATGGCTCACTTGTGAGGTCCAGTCAGACCTACAGGGGAACTGAGCCAGGCTGAGCTGGCTCCACCCAGGAGCTCTGGATGCAGAGGAGGGGGGACTGGGAGATTGGCAAGGACAGGGTGAGGACGTCCTGGAGATCAGCACGGTAAAATGGCTGCGCTGTCAAGCCAGGTGTCTGGAAGGGCACCAGCACTTGGGGCAATTCTTAACCAGCCACAAGAACAGTCACCACTGCCCATGAATTCCTGGGGCTCTGGGCCCCAAAATGAAGGCATGCTGACCCCTCCCCCGCCCTCCAGGCTTTCCAGAAAGCAAGCCCTACATTCTGCCCTTTATGGGACACTTAAAAAATATTTTTTCTAAATTATTCAGATCTAAAGGGAAGATTCTGAAGATATAAAATTCAGCCCAAAGCGCCCTTACCCCACCCCCACAAATGAACCTAAGGATTGGTTCGTGTACACACACACACAGACAGACACACACACACACACACACACACACACGTCACTTTTTTCAGAAACATTCACTAAGTCAGAAAACTTCGGAAGCCCAGGTGCTCTAGCCCTGGCAATTTCTGGAGCCCCCTTGGTGGGGCCCCAGGCTGTGTTGTCAGCAACCTAGCTGGAGGCTCTGTGGTGACTCAGCCCAGAGCTGAGGTGACCCCCTGAGCCAATCCCTGCACCTGCTGTGTTCAGCCCAAGTCGGAAGAGGGGAAATAACCTAATGACTCTGCCTAGAGGAGGAAATAGTCAAACCCAGACAGAGCCACACAGCATCCTAGATTCCAGACTCAGTTTCACAATCCAGGAAGTGGGTGGGGGTATTGGTGAAACGGGTTCATTTGGAGGCTGGAAAGGGGACCTGTTATATTTAGGGCAATGTTATTGACAAGACTTCCAATTCTAAAACCCAGTACTCTGAGGAGAGGGAATTCCATAAGGACCTGGCGGTTGTTCCATCCCATAGCTGCGGCTTCCCTGGTCCCTCAGAGAAGATAGGCATCATGAACTGGTCCCTGCCCTGCCGATGAGAATATGAAAGGCCCTTTCTTACTGGAAACCCACCTCCTCACCTCCTCCCTTTCCAGCAGTGATGATAACTGTTTAAGTCTTTGGGCTCTGCTTTCCTGACAGACTACTCCACTGCTAACAGCTCTGGCCCAGGATCCCCGGGCAGGTGTGGGCAGAGGGGGGAGCATCCCCCTCTGTGTCCTCTACATGAGCCCCTCACAGCCACACCACCATAGGCAGACAGATGACTGGCCTCTCCTTCCAGAGGTCAGCTCTGCAAAATCCCAGAATTCCAGCCGGCACCGGGTGTTGTCCCAGAAGAAAAGAGTACCGATGTCTAGGGCTTCTGGGAATGGGAGGCTCCTCCGAGTCTGAAGCTAGCCCTTAATAGAGGACCCCCAGCCATAAAGTACCCAAAGGAGACCCTGCTGGCCCTCTTTGAGACAATGGATCTCAAGAAACTAGGATTCCCCTAGAACTCCCACAGTGGGAAAAGACAAGAGCTGACCCTGGTGTCCAGCAGAGAGGACTCAAGTCTCCCAGGAAGAGGCTTCCTTCCTCTCCCTCCTCCTCTTCTCAATGGAGCCAGGCTGAATACATTTCCTTTCTCTCTTCTATTACCTGTCTAATTGGCCTGTTGAAGACAGGCCGCAGAGGTTAGCTTGTCGGGGTGCTAGAACCCAACAAATCCAGCAACACAATGAGGCGGTTTCATCGCAGAGATTTCCTTACTGAGGGCCTCTGAAGTAAGGTGGGACACCACCACCACCACCACCACCACTACCACCACCACCACCCCGCCACCTGGTACCACCTCACCAGGGGATGGGAGGACAGAGAACAGAGCGGTGGGAAAGGCCAGCAGAGGCAGGATGCAGCCCATGGCACTATGGCTTGCCTGGGAGAATTTCAGGGGAGGCAGTGGTTATAAAAGGCCCTGGTTCCAAAGCCAGAGGAGGAGGAAGGTAGTCCGGGAATGGCAAAGGGCAGGAACAAAAGCATCAGGGGCAGAAAGACTTTAGAAGGTCACGGGGCCATCTTAATTAGGGCGGTGCTCCTGGAGGACAAAGAAATGGCCAGAGATATACAAGAGAAACTGCTCCTTGGCAGCCAATGGGCAACTTGGAGCCCTGCTACTCCAATCCGTTCCCCAACATGCCAGGAAGTAAGCAACACTCAGGCTCCCCAGGGACCCAGGCACACAACGTTGCAGCCAACACACAGAGTCTCAGGGCCAGCACCTGTAGGACACACCCACACTGTAGCCAGGCTCCCTAGTTCCATCTCTGGGAGGAGCAACCACGACCCACAGCCTCTCGTTCCCTCACTCCCTCCACCCCAATCAGCACAGTGGCCTGTGCAGTAGGTGCCCAGGTTACAAGGGGGTACCTGTCCTCAGGGGGCACACAGTCTCAAGTAGTGAACACGTGTTCAATGACGTAATGGACCCAAGGGTTGTCCGCTGATGAAGTGTTTTAGAAGCCTTGTCTCCAAGCAAGAGGACTCTACCCAGTTTGGAATCCTGTGTGGGCAGTCATCTAGGCAAATCCAGGCCAGATGGAGGGGCTAAGAAGAGGGGATAGCCAACAGCCTTTGCAGAGACGCTGAGGTGCACCAGGGCTGACAGAGGCTGTGGCTGGCCTCAGCTGGACAGGGACAGTCATAGTTACTAGGTAAGATACCTCTCTCCCTGAAAGAAAGCAAGAGAGGGGCCATCATACCTTTCCACTGTGGTCACCTGAAGGAATCACAATGAGCCAGGCTAGAGCAGAAGGTACAAGACAGCACAGGCACAGAGGTACCAAGGAACTGAGGAAGACTGACGGGAGTCAGCATCTGCTTGGGAAGCTACTCACTGCTCCTAGGAACAAACCAAACAGTCCCCAGTCGGTTCCTGAGTCACCTGTGACCTTGTCAGGCAGACACGCAAGGGGCAGCAGTCCTGCGAGCGATGTGTCTCACATTTCCCAGCTAAGACACCAGCTAGCTTCCCAGAAAGGAGATCAGCAGGGCAGAGATTCAGAGAAACTTTAAAGAGTTTAAAGTTAAGCGCGACTGTGGTCAGAGTATTTGACATGCTTAAAGAAAATAGCTCCGTGAAATCTATCACTGAGTACAACAGATACAGGCCAATCCTTCAAAAAGTAAAGGTTAAAAGCAAAAGGGGTTCCTCTTGTAGAGAGAGACAGAGAGGTGACCAATAGTGATAGAGTACAGACAGCGGTGGCTAGCATTTAGAGACATTTGCAAACCAGAACCATTTCTAGATTGTATGTTATGTTTCTTCTTCAACAAGGCCTATGGGGTAGACAACACTGGTTGACCCAGACCCTTCATGAAGAAAGTAAGGCACCAAGACATGGCTGAAGTCACATGGCCAGTGAGCAGTCATATGGCAGTTAACAGACATTAGACCACACGGCACGCACTTGTCCAGTACACTGACCCTAGATCTTTCCCGCCAGTTTCTTCGGCCTGAGTGTGTCCAGGTCAATGGAGTTTCGTGACTCCTTTTTCACGCTAGGCCTGCTGGCATGAGTCTCTTGCCCTTGCTTTGACCCAGGATGAAAAGAGGCCAACTCAGTGGCATGCTGTATTTGTGGTCCTCCCACACCCTGGCACACCGACCCCAGCCAGCCTACGGAAGTCATTGATTTTTCATCTGAAGCTCGCAAGCATGCTGTTGTCTCACTTGAGGGCATGATAGTTTGCCTTCAGCTCTGAGAAGCAATAAGCAACCTGGGTGCATATGTGATGTCTAGGAGCTAAAATCTTGTGGGCCTGAGTTCCAAGTCCAGCCCAGCTATGAGGCAGGTGTGACTTAACCTCAATTTCCTT